TTTTTAAGATTAACTTTTCACTTCTACTTAATTTTAGGTGTTATCATAGATATAATTTTAGTTTTTATTCTAGCTTCTATGTACAATTATGTATTATTAGTTTAATATGAAGTGTTGCCAATAAAATATAATACAAATAATTACTAATGTCAAATATAATAAAACGGTACCATCCTTATGTAACAAGTAATTAATCAAAAAATTCAACTACGAGAAAAATACGCGTATCATATTCGCTACGAAAGAGGGTCTACAAGCAAAAACGATCCTAAGCGCTCTCCGGAACCGCTAAGTCGTTTATTGCTTGACCGTCCTCGCAAATCTGACCCTTTCTAGCTGCTTCGCTGGTGGCCTTGATATTGACGACATAGCTTTACATTCTGATAATTAAAAAAAAACGGTCCATCCGATTGGGGTTTTTGAAAAAGTAACAGATTCCAAATAGTTTTCATGTTACACCGAGGTAAACGATAAAATAAAAATGAGTTTTCAGGGCAAGCGTTTATTCGTGTGTGTAACTAATACCTCGACCAATAAAAAAGAGAGTTTTTAATTATACTCATCCTTTTTATTTAGCTTTAGATAATAAAAATTTAAATAAACCAAAATAATACTCAAAAAATATTAAAAAAGGTTTGGTACTAATTGATTTCTAAAATTCATTGCAAACTCAGTCAGAATTATTACTGTTCTGTCCTATTCTCATAAAATCTTAGCAAAAGTTGACATCTTTTTAAAAAATATGTAGCTCCTCTAAAATTAAATCCGCGGCACGTCACAAAGCGACCGCCAGCAAATTAAATTTAAACGCACTCGGAGCCATTCGTGACGTGCAAACGTTCAACGGATTTAGTTTTGGGTGAACCACGTTTGCAATATCGAGCGAATTCTATATACAGCCGAAACTCTTTACTCATTTTGACTTCCTTAATATACAGTCTAACAGTAAAACATACCTTGTCACTTCTTGTATATATGAGAAACTTGGCATCATCGCGGAGTCGTATATGGCAGAAGTGAGAAAGAGTTTCTGATGTCCAATAATTTTGAAAAGAAAAATAATTACCCCTCTTATGCGAAACCATATATTTAAGCACCCTTCATCATATATACATCGAAAGTTTTATAATATACGTCCCGAAAATAGTGGATGTTAGGCCGCCCGCTTCACGTAGCGGAAGTCCCAGCTTATTGCTCAAGGTATTAGTTACACACACGAATCAACGCTTGCCTTGAAAACTCATTTTTATTTTATCGTTTACCTCGGTGTAACATGAAAACTATTTGGAATCTGTTACTTTTTCAAAAACCTCAATCGGATGGACCGTTTTTTTTTAATTATTAGAATGTAAAGCTATGTCGTCAATATCAAGGCCACCAGCGAAGCAGCTAGAAAGGGTCAGATTTGCGAGGACGGTCAAGCAATAAACGACTTAGCGGTTCCGGAGAGCGCTTAGGATCGTTTTTGCTTGTAGACCTTCTTTCGTAGCGAATATGATACGCGTATTTTTCTCGTAGTTGAATTTTTTGATTAATTACTTGTTACATAAGGATGGTACCGTTTTATTATATTTGACATTAGTAATTATTTGTATTATATTTTATTGGCAACACTTCATATTAAACTAATAATACATAAGTGTACATAGAAGCTAGAATAAAAACTAAAATTATATCTATGATAACGCCTAAAATTAAGTAGAAGTGAAAAGTTAATCTTAAAAAAAATCCTTCTTCCCATTCCAATCCAATATTAGCGTATATCTTCGGCAAAAATAATAGGTTTTTGATTTATAAAGAAAATTGTCATTTCGTTTTTTACTCTTCATTCAGTCTGAATTTGTTTCAGTGACCGATAAATTAGAGATATTTAGTGTTAGTCAGGGATCATTTTTGTCTCGCTTATTGCTACATATTGATTTCACACATTTACAGGAACCAATACATTTCATAAATTTTCTTTTACAGGAACAACAGGTTCGTTACGCCTGAAATGTTTTGCCTAAATTAAAAAATCTTATTTAACAGAAAATTGAATGTCTCTGCCTTTTTTTACATCGACAGGTGTTTAGAACTGAGGTATACTCTTGTAATATTGCTTCGGTAATCAGTACATGTTAAATTTTCCAACTCACCGTCAATTGTCTAGAGACAGTTACGTAATCGCTTTCTAAATAAATTTGAATTTCTTCTCGAGCGACGCTTGTCCGTGTAAGATATTGAGTGACCACAAACGTGCATGGTTTCAACAAGTTCTTTATATATATATATATATATATATATATATATATATATATATATATATATATATATATATATATATATATATATATATATATATATATATATATATATATATATATATATATATATATATATATATATATATATATATATTAATATTTTTTTCCATTTGAACTTGCAAAGATGATCGCTTGACAAATATTAAGTATTTCCGTTTCTTTGCTGGCATTACATGTTTCGCTGGAGACAAGATGACTAGTTAAAAAATATAAATTATTTGCTTTTTGTAATCCTTAATTTTTAAATTCTGCATTCTGTATGCCAATTATTTCCATTTTAATATTTTGGCAAATCTTCGTCATTCCTGGCGGACCAAAGGATAAATAGTTGGACGTTTCCGTTTTAGTGTGATGCACTACTGCTTCAATGGCTCCTTTATGTTAAGTTCCAGGATTTATTAAATAAAGCAAACAACTCAGACTTTTTTAATCAACTCCACTAAACATTTTGCAAACTCTGTCCACAATTTTGAAAAACTTCATAAAGCATCAAATTCAGACACATGTAGAAAAAAGTCTTGTGGGCTTTCAGTCCTCCTGTGACAAGTAAATTGCTGTGAGTGTTTAAAGCAAACTAACTTTAACAGAGTTCAGCGATTACAGAACTATTGCCCAAGACTAACATAAGGTATCCGAACATCTTACTCGATATTTGCACTCTGCGACCTTATTTTTCATAATTATAAAAATCCATATTCCAAAGTATTTGCAGCAAAGACCGCGTTTTAGCATAGATGTATATACGTCAAACCGTCGTTTTCGGGCTATATTATAACACTATTTTGAACTATTCATTCATTTCGTAGCGAATGTGATACGTATTTGCCCTCATAGTCGAATTTCTTGATAGGGATGATACTGTTTTGTTATTTTTAACATTGCAACATTGCATATTAAACCAATAGTACATAAGTGTACATGGAAGCTAGAATAAAAATTAAAATTTTATCCATAATAACAACTAAAATTAAGTAGAAGTAAAAAGTTAATCTAAAAAAAAACCCTTCGTGTTGGTCAGGGATCATTTTTGTCTCGCTTATTGCTACATATTGATTTTACACATTTACAGGAACCAATACATTTCATAAATTTTCTTTTACAGGAACACAGTGGCCCGTTACCCCTAAAATGTTGTGTCCAAATTAAAAAATTTTATTTCACAGAAAATTGAATGTCTCTATACCTTTTTTTATATTGACATAAGATACTCCCATATAAAAGCATTATGCGGTGTTTTTAAAATGAAAAAATAAAGTATTTCTAATAAAAATATTGAAAAGCGGTTTTGTCAATTTAAGAGCAGTATGGTGTAGATAACAAAAAAATAATAATTTCTTGACAATTTTTAGAAAGATAAAATGATAAAAAGTGATTATTACATTTTAGCAAGAAAGTGCAAACAAAAATCCAGAACTGCAGAACTATTGATTAAGACTAACATAAGGTATCTCAACATCTTACACGATATTTGCACTCTGCGACCTTATTTTTCATAATTATAGAAAACCATATTCCAAAGTATTTGCAGCAAAGACTGCATTTTAGCTTAGATGTATATACGTCAAACCGTCGTTTTCGGGCTATATTATAACACTATTTTGAACTATTCAAAAATAGTTCATAAATTTCCGGCTAAAATACTACAATCAAAAAATGAATTTGTTTTTAAAAAAATTATTTCATTAAATTAAAAGAGCAGTAATATATTTAAACTCTAGTATAAATTAAGAACTGAAAATGAACCAATACAAATAAACAATGTCTGAAAATAACCTTTATCAGCATTTAATTATTTAATTGATCTCGCAAAATCTATGATATTTCCTTCCTTCCTTCCTTCCTTCCTTTTAATTCATTTATTTTATTGAAGTTAATGTGCCTAAGCAGCTTTTGTGTATAAATAAACTTGTCAAGGCGAACAAGCGGAAGAAAATTTTTCAAAATTATATTTGTTTATTTTGTATAATAAAAGTCCTTTATTATTATTAAAGACAGAAAAATAATGAAACTGCCAATATTCAAATTGTGTTTATAATATCTTCATCATATCTTTTTCAACATTTTCTTGTTTTTATCCAAAACCAGAGAAGGCATTAATTTAGTACTCCATTCATTTTTAAGGGAAGTCACAAAATTTGGTCCGTTACCCGCAAATACGGTCGAAATGAATCCTTTTCAGTATATTGTGCGCCTAAAATAACGGCCTTGAAATACGCAAAAAATGCTACGTTGCCATTTTACTACCTCGTAGGAAGCCATAAAGTACTACAACTAAACATACTGTGAGGTCCTAACGTATGGTTTACCGCGGAGATTCAAAGGGAAGTCAATACATGCGACAGACATACCAAGATTACATTGCGAACACAATGTTCGGAGTGTTTTCGGAGCGCGAGCATTGAAGATGCGAAGTGAGATTTTGGCGAAACGTCTGCAGGATTCCAGTCCTAGTTCAACAAGCGAACGGATGATATCCCGGAATATAGTGTCATCATCATCATCATCATATATATATATATATATATATATATATATATATATATATATATATATATATATATATATATATATATATATATACGTTATTGTATTAATTTTTTTCTACTGTTGTAAATAAGGGCGCTATAAATGTTCAACGCACTAATGTATTACCCAGTAGAAGATCTCATAAAGAAATATGTATGTAATAATATTTTATTGAATTGCTTATCAATTAATTACATTAAAAACACAATTACAAAAAAGCATAGGTACCTATGCGAATTACAAATTATGTTTCCATCAATTTTTTAACGGGCTGGTAGCAAGCTGGAAATGATTTTCAAGACGTTTTCTTTGTTTAGTGGACATTTCGAATAGGTCGATAAACATTTCTCCACCTCTTGAAGCTTTCCGACGTCTACTGCATCTTTAATCCCCGTGCCATTCAACATATAAGAAAATAATGGATTACTAAAAATAAAGGTCTTATTAGAAACATTGACGATTCAATAAATAATGCTAAAATTCTCCATTACTACAGATAAAAAGACGATATAATTTTTAATAAAATTGATAGTTTCTGTCTGTTTTCCTATAATTCTCACGATTTTGAAAATATTGGTATTGTTGTAACATTCACCTTCATTAATTAAAGTCCGTTTAAGAAATATTTGTATTGATAAAATGGACCAGATAGCCTTAGCCGTCAAATCTTATACACGTAAAACTGGATATATAATTGGGTACAAGGTTTTGCTAGTTCGGTAAAGTCTTCAATGAGATTGTGCATAATTATAACTTTTTATTTTATTTATTAAGATCGAATAAGAGTGAATTTTCACGTTTCAAGACGTATCGGTCGTAAATCCCAATCATAGTGTTTTTGCTTATTACATATATTTCGATGACTTACCTAGTAAATCCAAGTATCAGTTCGTCGATTGTTCGAGACTCGCCGCCGTGTTTATTTTTCATCGCATCGCTTACGAACGTGCACATAATTCTTTGCGCACAAGACGTACTGTCTATGTCATGTGCAGCTAATGAGTTGTCGATTCGTGACAATACGTTCGTGACTGAGGATATATCGTGATCTATACCTAAAAAAACACCATTGATATAAATTAGAACTATCTTATTTCAAAATCCTCCTTACTTCTGCCAAAGCCTCCACCTCCGGCTAATAGATGAGCAATTTTTGGTATCAGTAAAACTGCACCCAAGCCTATAAACACCCCAATTACAACACCACTTAAGTCGACTTTCAATGGCATGCTCAGTCCGTTGTCGTAACCACCCGTGGGTGAATTACCATAAGAAATTACCCCAAATCTAGATTCTTTCGGTTCTTTTTTTGGTTCGGTGACTGCATGACGTTTGTTACCATTAGTTGTGTTGTATGGTTTGTCGAAAGTAAGGATGTCCGATTCGTAATATCGGTGACTTGGTGTGAATCCCCTAAAAACATTTCGTTAATAAGCATTTAAGTACTACAATTTAACAAAATGACTAATATCTAAATGGTAATATTAATCGATAATATTTATTTTATTAACCATGAAAAAGCATCTTGCACTTACTCACCCCACACAAAAAAAATCGTTTTAGGAATGGCTAAAAATTGCTGCAATGCAATACACCAAAATTGTTATAATGTTCATTCTACGTACAGTTTACATAAAAAGTAATATGAAAACTCGTTGACATCAACGGACTTGTGTATTTTGCTTAAATTTTATGTATTTAGGTTATCAAGATTTCTGGTTAAAAATGTACACCGTGTACCCAGTAAACCAACAACTAACCAAAAAAAGTTTCGTACAAAAGTTTCCTGGATTCCTCTGAAGATTTAAAATATTATAATTTTGTGATACAGGGTGTCCCAAAAGTGTTCGCCCCGACATCAACTTTGTTATTTTCAATCGAACATCCTGCATATTTTGGCATTTTTGGAAGCCTTGGTTTTTTTTTTAATTACGCTTTGTTTGGCCACTGCTGCCAAGGCAATTCGGCCAGCTTCTCGGTAGTGGTGTGCAATAAACTATTTCCATGGAGGATGCCTCCGTGAAGAGGGTCTGGGTGATACCATCATCCTACTGGACGGCTATACAGGAAAAAAAATGGACGAAAGAATTAGAAAATGTGAAAACAATATTCAAAGTTTTAATCCACATGCATCTAAAAAGCGGCAAACAATTCTAGCAGCAAAATCCAACTGAGTGCGGTGAAATAAAATGGAATTAATATGCAGAGGCGAAGGAAAATTAGCACTAATGAGTGACTCATACAACTGTTGTGATTTTTCTCCAGTTCTCCACATTCACAGTCTCCGGAGAGTTTGACTTTGATTCTATTTAGGTGAGCCGGAGAACAGCAATGGTTGCTTCTCAGTCTACACATAGTTGTGATTTCTCTTCTATTCAGGTCGAGCTTATGAAACCAGGGTTTAGTTGGCGGAGTAGAATAATGTGAGGTGAAATTAATTCCTTTCCCTAATCTTATATGTCTCCATCTGTCGCTCCTAGCATTCCAGATGTTATGCTTTAATTTAGGGAAGAATTCCCTAAAGCTCAATTTTATATTTTCCTGTGGTTCTAGGCGTGCAGCATTGGCGATCTGGTTCGCAATATCGTTTTCTTTTATACTGGTATGGCTTGGTATCCAGCATAATTGGATGTCCTTATTTTGCGTTTTTATTAAGGTAAAAAGTTTATTCTTAACCTGCAAGGTTAGGTAGCTAGACTTTGCATCCATCCCAGTTTTATTGATATCTTCGAGGGCACTTTTGGAGTCTGAAAGGATGACTGCTCTGTTGATGTCCTTGAATTCAATCCAATCAAGAGCTTGACCAATAGCATAAATCTCAGCAGAGCAAATGTATAGTTCACTTGGTAGGCCTTGTCCCATTTTAAGGTTCGTATTGTAGTTGTAAACGCCAAAACCTACACGGCCTTCTTTATCTTTTGAGGCGTCTGTAAAAATTAAATGAAAATCAGGGGTCCAAGTCTCGCTCTTCTTAATTTCAAATAATTTGGAGTTATTATTATCTTTCTTTAGTTTTAAGTCTTGGATTTGAACAGAGCTTAAAAGGTTCGGCAGTGGACAAGAGAAACAGGGATAAACTCCTGTAGAGTGTATCTAACAGTGAATCAACTCTTTCAAAAGCATCCACAAATGCAGGAATACTCTTTTTCCGAAAAAAGTAATAGTGTTCATTATAGGTGATATAACCATCTAACCGCAGCTAAGGTTTCACTGTCCACTAAACTGGCAACTTTCAATAATGATTTAGCCGCTAGCATGTATCTTCTGTGTTCTAAATCCATTTCACTTGCTTCCCCTAGCAGTATGTTAGTAGGTGTGGACTTCATATATCCCAGAGCTATTCTCAGTGCCTCAAATTGAATTTTGTTAAGTTGAGCAATAGACTTTCTTGAGCTACCACCCAAAAAAGAGTCCAAATGGGGTCTGACATAAGCTTTGTAAAAAGTTAGAAGGGTAGAGGGATGTGCCCCCCCACCAGATTCTACTTATAAATCGCATCATATTCAACCCACCTGAAGCTTTATGTATCATATTTCTAATTTGTGGCTCCCATGACAGTTTTGGATCAAAAATCACTCCTAGATATGTGATGGAATTTCTCCATGCTATGGTTCGAGTGTTGAGGTGAAGTCTGGGGAGATAATTAACCTTGTAATTCTTTCTGGAAAAAAATATAGCTGCAGATTTATTGGGGTTAATCTCAAGTCCTACATTCAAAGACTAAATATGTATATTTTGCAAAGTTCTATTCAAATTGTTCACTATTGTTTGGGCATCAGTACCAGTACTCAGCAAGGCGGTATCGTCCGCAAACTGTAAAAGTGTTATGTTCTCAGAAATTGTTTCTTTAATTGAATTGATGTAAATATTAAATAGTAGTGGAGAAAGAGGGGAACCTTGGGGAACTCCCTTGCTGGTGGTTCTGCCTGACACAAATGTATTAGTAGATGGATCTTTAACTTGTATCTTCCTGTTCGTGAGAAAATCTTTAATGAGCAAAGTCAAATCTCTGGCGATTCCAATTTTGGCCAACACCGAGGTCAATAAGTCAACATTTATATTATCGTAGGCATTGGATATGTCCAGAGTCACCATTGCTGCTAGTTGATTGCGAGCCAAACGGCAGAGGACCTCTGAGGAGATAACTGCAAGATTGTCGAAAGTTCCCTTATCCTTTCTGAAACCAGTTTGGCGAACGTCCTTAAAATCCCTTATAACTCTAATGATAGCATCTTCATTTTTTTCAGCCCCGCAAATGTTCCAATGAACGATATTCATTATAGCTCAACTATAAAACGCTTGTGACTAAAACTTAAACTTAGTTTTGTTACGTAAAAACTACTGTTAGATTAAAACTAGTGATAAGATTACCTTTTCTTTTTCTAACTCCTGTAGGTCAACCGCTGCCATCGCAGCCGCCCCCCCCTCCGTAGGTCAAATGAACCAAAATATTGTTTGATATTGTTGACACAATTTTCATCTATACCCTTTATTGACATAACGTCTTTTTTGAAAGCTTCAAACTTGTTGCATACTTCTTCCCAGCCATTTCCTACAGGAGTTACTTCCGTTTCCGACTCTGATGTCGAGTTTTCACCTACTTGTATAGATGAGACTTTTCTTCTTGCACTTCATCGTACCCTTTAATAAATTGGGTGTCAGGCCGTTTTCTTTTAAGTACTGATGTATATGAGGAACAGCCCCGAGGACTTGTTGGATGAGGAGTTTTATTCTGAGTTTTTTTATTTAAACTAGGAAAATCTTCTGGTTTTCGGGTAAAGCCTTGTTTTGCATTAATTTGCCGTGGATGCAGTTTAGCTGCTTCACAAAAAGAAAGGTTGTAGAAGCTCATGGTTTCGTTAATTTATTTTTGCCGTTTGTATTCGGGACATCCCCAATCAGTAGCAGTGTGGTGTCCCTTGCAATTTACGCAGCTTGGTTTTGGATTTACTTCACAATTTGGAATTTTACACGTTTTAGTCAGATTGATCTGCAGGGCATTTCATTTTTTTTATTGCTTGCTCTCTTTTTTCACAAACAAACATAAGATGATCTTCTGTACAAAAACCGCAACGAGGCTTGCCTCTACAATTATTTTCGACATGTCCAAATCTGCAACAATTGACGCACATTATAACCGTGTTAACATATTTTTCCACTTCTCTTTCATTATTAAAAATATTTACAGTTTGGGGTAATGATTTGCCTTCAAATGTTACAATATAATCGTTTGTGGGGATGGTTTTCATTACTGTTTCGCCAGAAATAGCAAGTATTTTCTTCCTTCTTAAGACTCTTTTTACATTTAATATCTTAATCGACCTGGCCCGGGATCCTTCTCCTGTATAAGCTACCGCTTCTGAGTAAAAATCCTCTTCCGTAATTTGGTCCCCTACATCCTTGATTAGTCCTCTACAAGTGACAAGACGTTGTGGAATGTACCTATTATAGCCTCTAGCAAAACTGAAACTTTCATTTGACAAAAATGTTAATTATTTTTGGAGATATTCGAGGTATAAATTCTTGTTGCATTTAAAGCTGCCCACATTACTTGTTGGCGATATTAAGTATTTTTTTAATAGCAAAGACATGATACTACTTCTTTTAAACATATAATACTCCATACTATTAAAAAACAAATATCAAAAACAACAAAAACAAACAGAAATGTCAAAGTTTTTTTATACCTTAATGCCTCAAAAAAAGATTGTGATGTCCTAGCCAACTACATTTTGAAATATTTTAATATTTCTTTGTTGTTTTGATGCCAGATGAAAGGAGCATTTTAAGGTGAACATTTTTAACTAAACTTTATGGATCGAATTAACGAACTCTTTTTAGTTCAGTTTTTGTTTTATAGATTTATTTATACAAAGTTTTTACCTTTAGTTAGCCTATAAAGTTTAATTATTTATTTATTAGGTATTTTCATTCAAGTTAGATAATTAACTATTAAATGTGTCTTTAAATATGAATTCCAAAGATTTATTAAATCTGTTAAAGCGTGTAGTATAGAGTCGATCTTTTTCAAAATTTTCACGTATTAATGGACACCCTGTATTGTTAGCAATAGGTTTTATTCGTATATCTGGAGTATTATATTTTTGAAAAAGAAGTTGCTATTTAAAAAATACCTATTATTGTCAACAAGTGACCTAATGTGGGGATCAGTTTTAAATTTAACAAGAATTTATATGGGTGTTATTTTAAACCTCGAATATCTCAAAAAGTAAGTCAAATTTAAATATAACATAAATTACAAACTTATCTTATTTTTTGTCCTGGAATTAATATCTCAATAAAAATATAGTGTGTCCCATTTGAAAACCTTGAGATTTTGTTAATTGGATTCATCAATACCACACCACTTATTTAGTACACCCTGTATAAGCTGATGCGGACCTGTCAGCAAAATTCGAATAGGAATTTCTTAACAAAGTGGCCTTTATTTTAACCAAGGAGTCCAAAAATGTAGAAATATACAGAGTGTTCCATTTAAAATAACAAAGTTGATGTCGGGGGGTGGGGCACTTTTGCGGCACCCTTTATTATAATATTTTAAGTCTTCGAGAGAGTCCAAGAAACTTTTGTACGAAACTTTATTTCGTATCTCCTATAGGTTTCTAGATCGTTTTTCTTTGGCACATGGTGTACCTATTCTGTACTGACCCGCGATTATTGTAATGACGTTGAAAGTAAGGTTGTATAAAATATTTTTTTGATAAAATTTTGAAAATGAACTTTTCCAGGCGATCGATTATTGTCAATACAAATAAAAGTAGACACTATCATAATTTTATTTTCGTTAGGTTCTTAATTATTTTGTCCCAATAGCCAAAGAGATATTGAGAAAAAAAGACGTGTTTATACAATTAAGTTTCAATTAATTAAATTAAATTTATTGTAAAATTTTTGTTAAATTATTCTTCAATACTGACGAAAAAATGCAAATAAGTTTGCATAGAAAAACATTACTGCTGAGCACCTAACGCACGAACAAAAATTAAAAAAAATTATCGGAAATTTTCAATGTACTCACCCTTCTGCCGCCGAATGAATTTTGGGCGAACCGATCACACCAAAAATGAAGCCCCAACAGGTTAGGACAAAAATGTTCGATTTCATTTTGAAAAAATAACAGTTTTGCGGTCTGAACACGACTGGTACACGATATTGATGACAATTTCATTTATATTTTATATACTTTACACATACTTAAGCACAGACAATAGACAATACGCGATGTTACAACATTTTTATACTTACAGTAATCTAATATTTTCACTTTCTTGGAGATTCCGTGTATAGGAATATTTAACAATTTTCTTTTGTGTCGTTGAAATAATACAGGCAATAACCCTTACATTTATTGCATAAGAATTGTCAGTTTTATGGAACACAGTAATTAATATTCCGAAATCGTGTTAGCTAAATATGGAAGATAGAATAATAATGACAATTTTATATAAAATAATAATTTAAATTAATTAATTTCATTACGTTATACACTATGTGCAAACGAAGTTTTTCTTGTTAGAGTTAGTGTTTAGGTATGGAAGGTGGCTGATTACATAATAAAAAAAATCGCGTGTAAAGTTGTACGTTAGAGTAAGGAGGAATAATTTGGTACAATAGTATATCATGCAACAAGCGAGTGTTTAATAAAAAGTTTACCGAACGTGTTGCATGCTACACTTTTTCTACGACCCTTAGTTTTTGGATACATTTTTGAAAAACAACACAGATACATTCACTGACATGACTGTCAGAATTGACAGAGGTCAAAAATCAAGCCGTGCGGTAAAATCTCCGAAAATATCTGGTTGCTCCCAAATCCACTACACTAATATCGCGGAAATGATTTTTTTTCTACTCCTCTCTCTAAAATACCTAGTTACACAGCGATCTAGCGTACGGGAAGCGTCACTTTACCACGTCAGTTTCGTTTCCCACGAATCTAACTCACTTCGGATATTTCCGGGAGTTTACTGCACGTGTTTGGGAGTAATCGGATGTTTTCGGAGATATTTCCCATTCCTTGAATTTTGACTTTTGTCAATTCTGACTGAAAACTATCGGTCGTAGAAAATAGTATATTATGTAACAAGTGCTGTAAACGGCATTTGACTCACGAATTTATTTGACACTAGTGGAGCGAGTGTTTAATAAACGAGTGACTAAAAAAGTTTACCGAACGTGTTGCATACTATACATTTTTTACGACCGTTAGTTTTTGGGTACATTGGGTACAGAATTGACAAACGTCAAAATTCAAAGCGTGGAAAACATCCGATTGCTCTCAAACCCGTGCGGTAAAACCCCGGAAATGTTCCAAGTGCGAAACGAAACAGATGTGGGAAAGTGACGCTTCCCGCACGCTAGTTATATGCCTATAAATGACTATATTGTATTTATTAATCTCTGTGCTGTATAATCACTTTTAATATATAAATATGAGCCCCGTAATATTTGTTAGACTCTTATGTTGTATCGCACAATTGTAAGGTTCCAGTGACCGAATGAAGTTGCTTTAACTTTTAACCTTTAACTGGCGCAGTCGTTACGATTTTTTCCGAGTTAAGTATGTCGAACATTTAAATTCCCTGTCAACGGTCTATCGGGAAATGCACCTTGAAAGTAGTGTAACGGTTCGAGGGAACATCGGATCGTGAAACGAAAAACTTTCGAAAAAGGACACCACGCAGAGGCAGAAGAAATAACAGTTCGAGTTACCGTTAGAATAGGAAGACCTGGGAAGGAACAAAAATGCTCCGATCCTATAGGCACCGTAGCATTAAGAAAATAGAAAACGAAGAATCAACAATCAAGTAACAGAACATGAAAACCATTTTACTGTAAGTTTTAGCTCGTAAATCCCTTTAAAAAAAATTAAACAACCCTTTCCCCAATATTCTAAATGTTATTTTAAGTGTTAGTAGTTATATATTTTTCATACCTCTATCAATTTTCATACGTAAAATTTTATGAGTCTACATTTCGAAAACGAAAACGAAAATTTACCAAATTTACCAGATAGCGATATTGACGAATTATCCGAAACAAATATGCCACCCGCAGATTATCAACTTTTGAGGCTATGTTTAGAATCTACTCCTTTTTATGACGGAAATCCGCATACTCTCAACATTTTTCTATCCTCTTGTGATAGCTTGATCTTAGAATTCATCACTAATAATTCCCATACAACTACAAGTAGTTTTATCTGTAGAGCGTTATTGTCAAATTTAATAGGGCTTTGATTCTAATCGGTTCACGTACAGATTTAAAAACTTGAAATGAAATAAAAGATTTATTAAACCTAACATTCGGAGACCAACGTAGTATTGATTGCCTTATTCAAGATTTAATAATTTTATCCCCACGTAGAGATGAATCGCCCTATAATTTCGGAATTCGTTGTCAGGATGCAAGAAGTCTGCTTTTAACAAAATTAAACACAATTCCCATAGACGAATTCGACGAAGCTGTAAAAGAAGTTAAACGACATAGCTATTAAGATCTCGCTTTAAAAACATTTACAAACTATGATCAGATTACGTTCACCAACATCCCTTGAGGATGCAATGAGTCTGGTAATCGAACAAGAAAATTTCTTCAGAGAACACATAACTTAAATGCGCAAATGCATTGTAAACCACAGGAAAAACAAATTCCTATAACTATACAAAAACCGCAAACTTTTTTACAAAAACCAAACATTTTTCAAAGACCAAACATTTTCCAGCAAAGACCAACTTTTCTTATGAGACCATTTACGAATACTCAACAAAATATTTTCCAAAAACCTCTCCAATTTAATAACCCGAATCTATTACAACAAAGACCGCCACTTTTTCAAAATAGGGCACCCCTATTCCAAAATCAAAATCAAAGACCTATGAATTTACCATAGAGCTTATACCAAAGACCAAATTTTACTCAAAGGAGTAATTTGTTCCGAAACCCTAATTTTATTAATAACCCAAATACTGTCTCTAATGGACACATCTTCAGGTAATACCTAATTAAACAATCATGCCCAACGTATATTCACAAACGAATGTCCACATCTTTACGATTATTATCAAAGTCACCTTTATAAAATTGACGATAATTTTGAAAACTACCAATATTCCGACTACCCTGACAACCATCTTCTAGAAAACCCTGTAGATTATGAAAACCCATATCCAAATACGTCCAGTTATTCCGAAACGCAAGTGAACGAAAAAACTTAGAATTTAATGAAAATTCAAATTTTTAATCGGACCAGAATACATCGGACAAAATATAGTATTAAATGCTCTACCCTATATTTTTATTCGTCAAATAAATGCAAAATTTCTAATTGATACAGGTAGTTCAAAAAGTTTAATTAATCCCGAAATTGCTTATAAATTTTACTATCCATATATATACAAAGAAAATTTTAATATTCAAACAGCTCATAATATTACTTATCATGACGAAGTTGTAGAAATCCTTTTATTTGACATTTTTAAAATTCAAGTTTTACTTATTTAAATTCAGTACAAAATACGACGGCTTAATTGGTATTGATCTTTTAAATCAACTGAGCGCTTCAATAAATCTAACGAATAAATTGTTAATAACCCCTTTTGCTAAAATTCCTATAACTTTCGAAAAGGAAGAGGAATGTGAATGCAAAGAATCTTAATTACACTTTAACCATATTACCAACAACACAACAAGTTGTAAAAATCCCAGTAAATAAGAAAAACGGAGTAGGAATTTTAAACTATCTAAACTTCGAAAATGGAGTAGAAAATTCACTTCTCTGAACCCATCGAAGTTGACCTAATAAACCTATTAGACGTAAACAGGTGTGAGAAAATCGATTGCGACTATCAAAAAATAACCACCGACACTCTCTTAAAACAAAATTTAAAAATCAGTAATTGTAACCAAAAAAAGACGCAATTAAGAAAATCTGTTATGAATATAGAGACGTTTTTTATCGTGAAGGAATACTATTAAGTTTTACTAATCAAATAACTCATAAAATTAAATTAGAAAATGAATCCCCAATTTTTACAAAAACGTTTCCCGAAATTCTGTTTTCCCGATATTCATAAACAAAAAGTAAAAACACAAATTTCTAATATGCTAAAATCAAGAAATAATTCAATAAAACTTTTCACCATGGTATAGTCCAATTTAGATAGTTCCAAAAAAATTAGTTGCTAGCGGAAAAAAGAAATGGAGATTAGTTATTAGTTAGTTAGTATATCCAATTCCGAACATCACCAATATTTTAGACAAATTAGGGAAAGCAAATTATTTTACTACATTAGACCTTAAGGTTCCATCAAATTGAGGTAGATCCTCAAGACGTCTCTAAAACAGCTTTTTCAACAGGAGGACATTTCGAATTTAAACGAATGCCTTTTAAAAATTGAACTGAGGTGGCTTTTACTTGATGAAAATTCATTTATCAAAATAAACAAGAACTAAAAGTTCAGATTTTCGTAAAATTATATATTCTGACATGAAAAAATATATAATTTCGTGAAAATCTGAAATTTTAGTTATTTGTTTTGAATGCCTTTTGGATTAAAGAACGCGCCTTCAACATTCCAATGCGCAGTGGATAATGTGTTACGAGGTTTACAAAATGAAACATGTTTAGTCTACTTAGACGATATAATAATATTTAATACTTCATTACAAGAACATTTAGAGCGTATTGAACAAGTATTTGATAGACTAGTAATTTTAAAATTCAATTTGACAAGTCAGAATTTCTTCAAAAAAACGTGCAATATTTAGGACATGACCCAAAGGGTGTGAAACCTAACCTAGAAAAAATAAAAGTAATAAAAAAAATTACAGTGCCAAAAACCCAAACTGAAATCAAACAATTTTTAGGACTATTAGGATACTATCGAAAATTCCCCAAAGATTTCTCTAAAATAACAAAGCCATTAACTAAATGTCTTAAAAAGAACGCAAAAGTCGTTCATGATAAAGAATTCCTAGAAAGCTTCGAAACCTGTAAACAATTATTAACTTGGAGCCATATTATCTCAAGGTACTGTACCAAACGATCGTCCAATAGCGTATGCATCTCGTACCCTTAATGAAAGCGAAACTAAATATTCGACCATTGAAAAAGAGTTATTAGCCATGGTTTGGGCTTGTAAACATTTTAGACCATATT